ATTAAAAATGATATGTTTCAGAGTAGTAATTGTTCAGCTGTTCAGTCTACCAGTAGAATAGTTGTGCATTTTCTTTCAGATCTTTACTGATACATAATTTCAATGCTTTTAATTTGGACCTGACACACACATACAGGACTCTCTCATGAGGGCAGTGATAATGTGACAAAAGTTCCAGCTGAATCTCACAACTGTAACACCAAAATGAACAACTGGGTCTCTATGGATAGAAATCACTTGTGAGAATGTTCATATAAAGCTTTTGTGTTTCTGTCACCAGCCCAGAGTGAGAAGTGAGAAAACTCAGGCAAAATTTTTTTTTTTTTTACTTCTGCCTTATCATTCCCAACTTTAGCTTTACCAAACTGAATGCAACAGAAAGAAACAAAAACAGCAAAAAAAACACATTAATGCTACATTTGTTTTTAACGGAGCACTCTGCGATCTTTTCTCTGAATGTGACGTACTCTGCGACCTTTGAAAGGCGGCAGCAAGTTGCATTTCAACAACTGGTTCTGGCACACTGACCTCCAGCTTGAAATGGCTGAATGCCTTTCTTGAGAATATAATATAATTCCTTCAAAATCCCCTAAATAGAGGAATTGTTTTTAGAAAAAAAATCCCCTGAGAATCCACTACTGCTTCTACGCTCAACACAAGAAATGAAACTGACTTTTACGTGGAACTGATTCACTTCTAATGTTATAGGTCTCAGCTTTGACTTGAAAGACTCTAAATATCCTTTGTTTTACCCAAAAGTTGATGCTGCCACTCATTCAGATCTGTGCATTATTCAGGTGAAACAAATAACAGTATAGATTTTTTTCTTTTCTTTAGACAGCACAAGGTTTTGGTAAAAGGTTTGAGTTTCCCAACTAATCTGTGGGCTGTAGTGCCAATGGGAGCGACCAGAAACCCGACCAGGTCTTTGTTAACGATGTGTCTAAATGTTCTCCGATATTAAAACATGACACCATTCTTTTTGTCATAAACAAATGGCCAATGAAGTCCAAAGAATGGAGTGATTGATGGCAGCAGCATAAATAAGAGAAGACAATAGCGTGAAGCAGAGATGACCAGCGTCTCACCTTATCACAGCCTCCTGTAGTGAGTCTCAGCTGTCTGTGAGATTAACAAGTGGCACGTTTGTTGCATTCATTGTTATTCCTAATGAATGACTGTTGTAAGATTGTATGTTTTTGTATGTTAATTGTTGTAGTAAGAACCACAGTCAATTCAATAATCAGCAGAATAACAATCAGCAGCAGCAGCAGCAGCACACCCGCCTTTTTTTTTTTTTTACCACTCCATCAATTTGCACAAACAATTTCTTTTTCTGTAATTAATTAACCTTAAAATGTTTTTGTTTTTTTTGCAAATTGTCTGATCTTCAGAGAAATTTGATTTAAAGTCAGGTTAATCTTTGTATTTTTGCAGTTGAACTTTAAAGATGTGAGCTTTAAATTGCATTTTTTTTAATGGTTACTGGGAAGTGGTTCCATTTATTTACATATTTATTTACTTATTCATTCATTCATTCATTCATTCATTCATTCATTCATTCATTCATTTTTTTGTATTAAAAATCCTGAAATCTTCTTCATCTGGTTCCTCTGTATTAGCCTGTGTTGTACTGAAGAAGTTTAAGAACAAATTCACTACCTCCATCTAGTGGTGGCAACTGTTGATTAAAAATCACTTTAGTTCCAGTTTGCCCAACAGACAAGTAAATAATAATGATTCAAACTTTGGTCTTTTCCAGTATTTGTAGCAAGCTTGCCTACAGATTCAAAAGATTCATCAATATTCTTCTGTATTTATCTGCAAGGGCACATAAATAAATATATATATATATAGGCCCAAAATGTAAAACTACTTCCTTCATTTTCTGCCACGGTTAAGCAGCAGGTGCTTTTCTTTGAGAAGATATATATTCTTTTTTCAGTTTCAGCCAAGTGTTTTGTTTGTTTTCTCTCACAATCCACAGACATGCAGACATATATTTAGGCATATCTCTGCCTCAGCTGTGTAGGTTTTATCTGAGTGATGAGGAAAAAGAGATGAATAAATCTATATTCCACTAATAATGAGGAGCTAACTGTCATTCATGCTGGTTTGTCAATGAGGCTACTTCACACATAAGGGTATACGGGTTTGAATGGTAATACACCTGATTCCTCTAATCCGAGAGAGAGGCAGAAGAGCTCAAGGTGGCAGATGGCCACACTAAGCACCTGCCGATGGGTTTTATCTGCCCTATAACTGTTTGGATCAAGCCAATTAGGCCAGCACTGCAGAAACAAGACGGAGGCAAAGCAGCAGAGGAACAAGAGTGTTGGAGCAACCAAAGCCTGCAAGTGGACAAACACAGCCTCTAAGGATGAGTCCTCTGGCATAAACAGGATTTATCTGATCATCGATGTGGATCCAAAACAACTTTGTGAACCAGATGGAGTTAATGGACGATCTTCTGGAGGACTGGTCAGAGTCTCTGGACGTTTTTGGGTCAGTGTGGATGAATGCACTGGGTGTGTCCGGAGCAGTTGAAGACTGGTCTGTTTGTTTGAATATCGTAGAGCATCTGTGCCTGGATCTGCTGGGCCACGTGGACTTTTTGTTGGAGCACCGCACTGTCTGCTTCAACATACTGGGCCCGCTGTACGCCGAGGACCCATATGTGTGGATGTACCTCCCCCACTGAAAAGGAGTGAAGATGTTTTTCTTTCTGTGCGTCTGAATTCTGCATTTTTTAAACTTTGCTGGCTGGAAAATGTTTAGACCAAGAGGGAAGCCCAAAGCTGTGCAGCAACAAGAACGTATTTATTTCACTTTGACTTCAGTTGCCTCTGCTTTAACCCAAATATAAGGCATTAAAGAGTGAAAGGGAAGATGACAGAAATGGCATCAATACAATTTTATATACTTTAAGGAAAATGTAAGCAAAATATACGTTTATCATGTGAATGTTTCATGTTTCAGGACTGAGCAACTGTGGTTTGTTTGTACTTCTGTGCTCCAATGCTGCATTGAATTATTTCTTTTCAGAATGAACCAAACAATAGTATTGTTAGGAGCTACTGTAATTACATACATGGAAAGCGTACTGGAACTTGTTTCTGCAGTCACAGTGTGCTCAGACATTGTTTTTTGCACCAGTTGTGAATTTGATGTGGAACCCAACAATTGTACATCAAATACTTAAGAACCAAATGAGACTGAAGCAACACGTTTCTAAAAAAATTTGAAAATTACGTGATCAATATTGAGGAGTGTCTGGAAGAAGTATCCATCCATCCATTATCTATACACCGCTTAATCCTCACTAGGGTCACAGGGGGGCTGGAGTCTATCCCAGCTGACTAAGGGCATAGGCAGGTCATCAGTCTATCGCAGGGCTACACTTAGAGACAGACAACCAAGCACACTACGGACAATTTAGAATCAGCAATTAACCTCAGCATGTTTTTGGACTGTGTGGGAGGAAGCCGGAGAACCTGGAGAGAACCCACGCTGCACGTGGAGAACATGCAAATTCCACACAGAAAGATCCCGGGTGTCCTCACCAGGACGCGAACTGGCGGCCTTCTAGCTGCGAGGTGACGATGCTAACCACCGCTCCACCTTGCAGCCCCTGGAAGAAGTGTTTTAGTTTATTTTATTCTGGGTAAATTTGCATCAAAATGGTCGGATCAGTCACCATGACTATACAACAATTATGTATGATGTGTATTTTTGAGTGTTACTGCCACTGGAAGCCTTTGCAAATGAATACAGTTGAAACTACTGGATTTAAAAGACAGTTTGGAAAGTGGTGAACATGTTATTGTGTATGCTAAATACTTTTTCTCTGATTAAACGTCAGGATGAATATCTGCAAAACTCTTGGCATAATTGTTTTGTGTGATAATTCAGTGTGTGAATCTGCAAAGAGAAACTGAAACAGTGCTTCTGCAATAAACTGACGCATCCTGTTTTAAATTAATGCTCAAGAGTCGAGGTGGGATTGTGCACAAGCTTCATTTTCATCTTAATCATTCCATACTTACATGTTGCCATTTAAACTACACAGTATTTTGCTAAGTGTAACACTGTCAGGCTGGTAGAACAAGTACTTGTTAGGTCTAACATAAGATTAAATGTATATGTCCTATAAAGACAGCATAACTTGTCAAGTCAAAAGTGTAAACGTATGACAGCTTCTCCTTTAGACCTTTTACTCTACCCATGATTTAAATGAAAAGTACAGTGAACCCCGACTAAAAAACTGTATATTTTGCAGGTCATACTAATAACTGACATTTTGCTTTTAAATTAATCTATTAAATCCTCAGTCAGAAAATTTAAGTAGTGCAATTTCTATATTTTATTTCTATTTTACTTAGAATTTATATTACGTTCTAAGTAAGTAATCGTTGCAAGCTTGTTAGTTATGCATAACATTAATTTTATTTTCAAACGTTGTTGTTGCTCCTACTTTAATTGTTATATAAATATTAGACAACACACAGAAACCTAACAAAAATCCTACTCTGACACTTTCACATATTACAAAAAATGTATTTGTTGTTTTTTTTCTTCAAACTAATGGATGAGCTCATGGATGACTCTCATATAAACAATAAAACGTATTTTGTATGTATATCTTTTTTTTTAAAAAAAACAAAAAAACATTAAGACTAATTTCAGATTGTGAAAATAGGATAGAACAGAATAGAATAGAATAAAATATTTTGTATTAATATGTTAGAATATTACATTAACATAATTTCAAAACTTTTTTTTCAGTAAAATGATTAACAGAGTTCCAGTAGTTTTCAAAAACAGGTTTAAGAGTCAGTTTTGTTGTTTTTAAAGTAATTCCTTTGCAATATATTCCAATATGTGATTATTTAATAGAACTACAATACGTCCTGTTTACCAGTGTGTTGCCTACACTACCCACAATTCCGCGCTGCCGCTACGTCTGTTACGTAACGTCGTTTCAGCGGTTGTGTACATTTGTCGAGGTGGACTCCGGGAGAACATAATGTGACAGTAAATTCAGATAGTTCTTTGGTTTACAAGCTTCAGCCTGAGAAAAGAATCTGAAAAGGTAAGAATGACTTCTGTTCTGCACGTTGGTTGTTCGTAAAGCAGCTATAACACACAAGAGATCTACTGACCGAGACACATAACACTCTGAAACGATCGCTATGTATTTATTTTTTAAATGTAATTGAATTTTTTTTCAGTCAAACATGACCACAGTGTCTAACATTTATGAAAACAATTAGTGGTCACTAAAATCCCAAAAGTAAAAAATAGATTCGTAAGCAGTTTTAAATAAACAGTAAAATTGCCTGTTATTATTTTTAAAAAATCAATACAGGGTCCAGTATTGATCCCATAGAGCCTCTGTGTGTGGGTTTGCGAGATTTAGTGTATGTTTAACCAGAAAAAATGAATTCAAAGGTAATGTTTTTGCTGAATTGTATAAATACATCATGCTGTTTTAGACTTCTGAGTGTATGTTTCCTGTTATTCCTGGCACCCATTCATTTATTTACTTCTCTTAAATTAACAAGGCTCTTTAATCTTATTGGTACCCCATCACACTTAGCATCAAATCAGCTTTAATAGCTGTCACTGTGGTATTTCATGTTGCAGTGCAGGTAGATTTAACGAGAACACACCTGAAATACCTTATTTGCCTTTTCCCTTATGTGTACTCTTTGTCCAGCTCTTTCTCTGGTTATTTTCTTTTTCTCTGCTCCCTCCTCACCACCTCACCCTTTACCCCGAGTGTCCAGGTCAAGCTGTTTCGCCCTGTTATCCAGCAGATAAGAGCCGATAAGCTCCCCTCTTGTCTCTTTCCCTCAGCCTCTTGGCCTCCAGTAAGTCTGTCATCATGACTTCTTGACATCACTCCTCACCATGAGTGGAGCTGCGCTGGCCGTCGTGGTCGTGGTTGTTTTCTTCCTGGCCCTCTGCCTCCTCCAGCGTTATGGAGACTTGCGGAAGCAGCAGCGGTTGGTGCTGTTGGGGACGCTGCTGTCCTGGTACCTCTGCTTCCTCATCGTCTTCATCCTGCCACTTGATGTCAGCACGGTATGAGACCTCGGCAGATGTGTGATGCATTTATCTACACATTGTCTTTTATTTGCGATAGAATATTGTCTCAGAAAAAAATATCAGGATCAACAAGCGATTGTGTGTACTTTTGAGAATAATCTCTTACTGATTGAGGTTGAGCTGTGTGTGTGTGTTTACACTGCTCTTCTCTGTACAATTTGACATTTAGCTGTGTAAACTCTGCTCTTTTCCCAGACCATCTACAAGCAGTGTGTTCTTGACAAGGCCAACCACACTGGTACTGTAACCGGAATAAGACGCTTAGCTCACACTGGGGCTGACTCATCTCTTCATTCCTCTGACAGGTAAGATATTGTCTGGTGTATCAGAACCAGGACCACAGTTTTTTTTTACTTTCAAGGCGATTCATTCCTCCAGCTGCGTTCTGAGGCCATCCAGCACGATACATGATGATTAATTTATTGGCAAAAGCTGCAAATATTCAGTTTGTCAGCTCTTGTCTTTTGCAAAGCAGCATTCTGTGCGGCTATTCTATTTTTTTCATTTTTTATTTCCAGAGATTTTCACTATATGCAGTTGCTTTGAGTCAGTGAAACCATATATTTGATGCTATTGAATTTGCTGTGGGCTTTATTCTTAGCAGCTTGTCGTATTATACACTCTGTTCTTTCTACTGTTTTGTCAGTTTGATGTTGTCAAGCTGTGTAGATTTAATAAATAATGACAATTCAACAGTCAGATGGAGAGAATAGCTTGCCTGTTGTGTTACTAGATGCATTATCAGTGCAGCTGTTGTCATTGTCTGTAATCTCTTCAGTTTTTTTAATTTGAGGGCTTCGTACAAAAGGTTTCCTGCGTGACTGTGTGATTGTATTTGCTCAGTAGTATTGTATTAGTGCAGTCAAGGCCAAAGCAGAGTGTCTGGTCATGGAAGTGTTTGTTAGTTTGTGATAGAGTCTCTACATTTGATTATTACTGTGTTTTTTTTTTTTTTCTTTTTTCTTGTGGAATTAAATTCTGCCATTACTGTGCAGATAGTGTTGGTGTCATCTATCTAAGTTAAACATATTCATGAGTTTTCAGTACTACTTCTACTAATATAATGAGTGAACTAAAATCAGTTTACAGCCTGCACCTAAACTGTATATATGTGTAAATATGTTTTCTTTTAGAGGTTGATATTTCTTTTTATTGTACTTTGATACTTACTGCTGTATTACCTTTTATGCATTTTTTTGTTCTTTATTTTTGTTTTAATCTTATTATATTTCTGTCTTTGTTCTTGGGCAGGAAACGTGCATGCAATGAAAAAGAATTTCCCCTTTGGGATAAATAAAGTATTTCTGATTCAGATTCTAAATTTGAATTTATGGTGTCAGCAGCACCATGACTTTTCACTAACAGTACCACACTTTATCTGTCTGTTTAGGTTTAATTATGACGATTTTCTTTACTAATTTGAGCTGACCCTTTAAGGCAGCAAAGTGTTT